GTAGTTGTACCGTATGCGTGATAATGTTTGCACCATCGTACAAATAAGGTTCCCGTTTAACCTGTGCATACAATGCCTTGGTTTTCTTTGCATACACGTAACCTATAGCTCATACCGTAGTAGGCTGTGTATAAAAGAAAATGATTTACTTAGTTTGAAAGTTGCACCATGACGAAGTGGCAGCGTATTCGTGATTTGTGCCACGCGCCAATGTCGCAAAAACACATTTCAATCGCCGTAAGAGTGTCCCGGTGGACCGTCAAAAGGGTTTTAGACCGAGAAAAGAAAGGACAACTATCCGCGAAGGTGACCACAGGTCGTCCGAGGTCAGCTCGGGTTCCGAGGGTTATCGCTGCTATCAAAAGAAAGATTCGGGTGAATCCAGTGCGTTCAATAAAGGAACACGGGATCAGTGATTTTACGGCACGGAAGATCGTAAAGGAAGATTGCGGGACAAAGTCGAGGTCACGGCAAAAAAAAACTCACATGATTACCAACCGCATCCGGGAGTTACGAGTCGAACGATGCAAGAACTTCCTTAAACGAAAAAATCCGGTAATCCTGTTCACCGACGAGAGCATGTTTACCGTCGATCCCGTATTAAATTCCAGAACCGACCGGTATATTAGTTCTCTTCCGGTAAAAGACGTGGCCGACGAGCACAAGAACGTGTATCTGACCAAGCATCATGCTAGCGTTATGGTGTTTGGATTGGTGGCTTCCGATGGCAAAAAAAATGGACCTGGTGTTCATTCCAGAAGGCTACAAGGTCAACACGGAGGTCTACATCGGGATTTTGAGAAAGCATGTTCTTCCGAGGATCAAAGAACAGTACGGTCCGAAGCCAAATGTTGTATTTCAACAAGATGGGGCTCCGTACCGCACTCAGAACTGGTTACAGGAACATCTTCCGTTCTGTGCGAAGGATATGTGGCCGCCATCAAGCCCCGATCTTAATCCGCTGGATTACTCAATATAGCGCGTCATGAAGGCCTGTTCTAAACGCCACCCAAGTACAGCAAGCCTCAGACAAACATTGACCCGTACCTGGAGAGAAATGTATCCAGACTACATTATTAGAACCTGCCGTGCATTCCGGAAGCGTGTGGAGGTCGTAATTGCAACAAGTGGAAACTCGATCGATGATTAACATAGTCTTAGACTCTGAGAAACATCCCCCCTTTGAATAAAAAAAAAACTCTAAAACGAAATTTTTGAGAATTTTTTTAGTTTTGACATTGCTCAATGGTGCAAACATTATCACGCATACGGTAATTACTCATAAATGGGTAAAATTTTACTCATCTAATGAGTAGTCCCAGTTTCCCTCGAAAATGCTTACTTTGTAATCATTATTGGGTATTTTGCGGTTACCGTGTAGGACATCATGGCTAAGACCGTTCGCAATGCTGAGTTTCAAAATTGTTTCTAACTAGGTACTCGACAGTTCCAAAATGTGAAACTGTCAAAAATGAAACTGCAATGCGATCAGCGCATCGCACATGGCTGAAGTGCATCCACTTTGATGTGATATTAAAATTAGTTTTTGCTGTGTAGTACAGTGTTTACAAAGAAGTTTTTGTAAATCTCTCACCTGCAGATCTTTGAAAAAATTAGGAGTCATCTGGTTTCTTGAGGGGTGCGTGTCTGTTCTAGTTTCAAATTAAAACAGTCCATATAAAAAACAACAGCATTGCGAACGGCGTAATTGGATTCTTTAAGGGTATATAGGTTTTTGTATATTATGATAGGGTATGATGCCAGTATATCATAACCCAAAGACATTTTAAAATTTAAATAGTGGAAGTACTAAAAAAAAAGTTTTTATATTAAAAAAAATTCAATTTTTAGTAAGACGATGTCTCATGAACAAATTACTAATCAACGGTAACACTGTTGAACAGATGCACCATCGTCTCATAATGACATTGGGGCTTATTACGGATGTCACTTCACGGTGAAAACTTGTCACTTGTCATTACGGTGAAGTGATTCCCATTTGATTTGTACGGCAATCACGGATCTTATTCTGAGCATCACTTCCTTATCACCGTGTAGTGACACCCGTAATAAGGCCCATTGTGTTTGTTTTGAAAACAGTGTCTTCTTGTTTTTGTTGCAGTACACATCTTCTATTTCTTCCTTCTCGATATTAACCACATCCACTACTGTGCACTGTTTTTTCGTCACCTTGTGCTCCGGAACCACTTTTGCTTTAATTCGGAATCTTTTTCCATCAACCTTATACTGCACTCTTCCAATAGCTGATTTAAGATAGTCCGGATTCTTGGATCTGTAATGGAAATTTGATACTATTTCTCTATCGTTCTAGGTACCATTCATCAAAGTCAACCGTTAAATTTTCCCTCTTTTATTGGCATCTCGGAATTTCTCGTTCGATGACAAAAAGTGCTGCACCATATAAAAGTTGATTTTAGGTAGACTATTCACGTCGGCTTTCAAGTACCCTGTTTCCATTACGGATTTTTGTGCCCTATGCAATGAAATTATGAAACGAGAACAAAACAAGGATCAGAATCTGATAGAAAAGCTAGTTGTCAGATGAACAAGTCCTACCAGAAAGCATGAAAAAATAGGGAGCACATATTTGCGGCAGGCCAATTTCTGTCATCGATTTTTTCACAGAAATTAACGTTATTCACAGAAATTTTAATATTCCTTAAATGGGAATACTGAGCCGAATATAATAAAAGTGAATTTGTGTTTATGACCCTCTATTCACAGAGCCGACGGATTTTGCTCATACATCTTCGCCCAGAATAGACCGACGATGACTCCGATGCTCCCCTACGATCGAACCTGATTCGAACAGGTCAAGGAGACCGATCCCCTTCAGCGCACCTCAACGATCGAATCTTATTAGAAAGAGTCAAGGAGAAGGATCACCTTCATCGTACGTCCGGAAGGCATTCACTTCTATGCTCCTGAACAAGAAGACGGACCGCTATATCCCTGGCGCCGGTCCGACGGATCATTACCAACGTTCGGCGAAGAGGCATCAATGGTTCTACGATGATGACGATGAAATCGAATGCGAACCAGAATAGATCGACGATGACACCCCCCCACGATCCAACCTGATTCGAACGGGTCGAGGAGACCTTCAGCGCACTTCAAAGATCGTGTCTGATTCGAACCGGAAGGCTTCACACTTTGAAAAAATGATGTGAATTTAGGTGTTCTGCGACTGACATATACGAGCGTCAAATTTGACATAAAATTTAATCATAATAGACGCAAAATTCAGCTCAATCAAACGTACTTTCGAACTTTTCGGTATCGGAGCACTTAATTTTACATCACATGTTTGTGTACGTCTCATCCTTTGTGTCAAAGATGGATTCCGTCACGTGTAAGAATAGGTTGAAATAGTTTGTAGATTTTTTTCGGGTTGCAATTCTGGCAGGTAAATCGGCATCAGCAGCTAGTAAACGAAACTTACTTTACACCGTTCGAAAAATTTATGTAAATTTCTGCGAGATGCGCACATAAAATTAACGCTAGATTTGGCATAAATTCACGCGGTATTTCGTGTAAATTTAAGTGCAATATCGCATAAATTAGCAATATTGTATGCAAGCTTGTAAACGATTTCGCTGTTTATGCCAAGTATACACACTTAGAAATAACTAATTTTTCAAGTGACGGAATCGATTTTTGACATTAAAGATGAGACGTAAACAAACATGTGATGTAATAATAAGTGCTCCTAGACTAAAAAGTTCGTTGCTCGACGAAAAGTACGTTTGATTAAGCTATATTTCGCGTCTGTTATGACTCAAATTTATGTCAAAATTGACGCTCGTATATGTCAGTCTCAGAGCACCAAAATTTACATGAATTTTTCTATGTGTGTAGCTCAAAATTAAACGAAGGGAGATTTTACGCGATAGTTAAATCCACGAATCATCTATGTTTAAAGTCATTGTTCACATTGGATCCTTACGCATGTACCAGAATTTGTCTAAACCAAATTGCGAATTTGGTAAAATTTGTAATGTAAATCCCTTTTCCTGTAGCCATTAGCCGGAACACTGCGCTGAAAAATTCGTCTCATTATAATTTTACATGTCAACAAACTTGAACGGTTAAAATTAAAATTTTGCTTCATGTTACGTCATGTTAAAATACTAACGGACGTAATTGTATGTCACTTGAGTCGCTTACATGTGTCGGTATTAAGAGACTTAAAATTACATGCAGTTTTCAAAGTGTTTAGCGGCACCGGTGGTGTAGTGGTAAGCGTGATTGTCTTTCACTCCATAGGGCCTGGGTTCAATCCCAGTCAGTGCCGTCGGGATTTTCTGAGGCATAAAATCTCTGATCGTGCTTTCCTTCGGAAGGGAAGTAAAGCAGTTTGTTCACGGTCCATGAGTTGATGGGTCAATAGGTAGGGTCCAAGTGTAGGAGCTGTCTCCCTGGCGTCGGTAGCATTGGTACTCAGTACGGAAAACAATATCGACGGAAATCAAATTAGAGAAAACAAATAAGCGTGTAGTTTTGTATGGTCAGTGATTAATGTACTACCCGAATAGCTTCCACTTACAATCTAGCCATCTGGATCGTTGTTGGGCTCCGTGTTCTTCACTGTGCATAGTAGTTTTAGGCATACTGCGGATTATTCTCAATTATCACAAAAACCGCTTACAACACGTAACAACTCCCTAGTCTGAACACAGCATTGTCATACGTGAATGTGACATCTACAGTATGAAAGGGAATTATGGGACATCAAAATAGTTAGTTATGAAAGAATTAGTTTGTCGTCAAGCAATTATAGTTCACCCTTCACAGAATTGTGCTGTTCGCAACACAAACAATTTCTTTGGCTAATGCCACGTGCACGGAAATGACTATGAGGTATAATTTTGCTCCCAGTAACACCTTTCAAAACTTACTAAAAGCATCAATCCTTTCAGCCACCTCAAAGCAATTTTCTTCCATTACACTAATTGTTTACACCAAATTCCCATAGTTACCTGAATCATTTTCAGCCGACCGCCGCATATCCAAAGGGCTCTCGTTCCTTCTGGCTTTCATCCGGTAACACTCACTCGACTCGTTCCCACTGGTACCACTGCCAACTCTCTTCTCAAACCGTTCCCCTTCACATCCACCGGTATCAATTTGACACCGTGTCGCCAATTTATTTTCAACACGTTCCGCCGGAACCATATAACAATCCAGTGATCCTCGCCGTAGCGACGGGTGCAGGCTGGCCAAATTAAAACCATTATTGTTATTGTTATGGTAGTAGGCAGCCATATTCAGTTTCCCATAAAACTCCGCATGATCAACTCGCCGTGGGCTGTTTCCATTAGCACTACTTTTATAGAACTTCATCCTAGCCAAGTCGCCAAGTTCTTCTTCATTACCGGATGATTCTACCGAACTTCTTCGCTCACCGTCTACTCCTCGCGACCGTGTTAATATGTCATTGATCGAAAACGGAGTCGAAGCGATCGATTTCACCGTTGACGTTGTCAAACTCATGTTCACGTCCGATCACTAGAACGGTTTTCCACCAACTGATATCCAAACTACCGCAGCAATCAAATCGTCCACTCATCCAATTTGGATTAAGAACAAGTCCCGGTACACACTAGCACGACACGACCGCACTTAACGAGTTCCCAAGTGGAAATGATGGATTTTCCGTTTGCGTTTTCCACTGAGAGTTGTCCGAAAATAAAAACCTGACAGCAATTTCACCACACTCATTCCGTCCGGGAAACACAAGCATACCATGCGCTGCGCTGGCAGAACAGGGAGGAACGAGCACGTGCTCGTTAGGCTGGTCGTTGATTATTGATGAATCATTTTGGGTAATAATTTAGTAAATTATTTTTCAGTTAAATACTCAGCAACTACTAAGTGGTCTTATTTGAGCGTTTTAGTAGAATAATTGTATACGTTATATGCTATTTTTCCTACCAATTTACTTTCACTAGTGACTAGACACTGAAGAAGTTTACAAGTAGTAAACGAAATACGTATCTGTTATAGTTTTTAAAGGTAGAAGTGAAATTGGTAGTAGTAGAATTAATAGGAAAAACAGCATAATAAGGTCAACTAAGTGATATTTTAGTAAAACATTAACACACCTTAAGAAACATCATGCAAATTTCATTGCTCCAAGACCGATACATGCTTAATATATGGCTAACGGCTCTAAAATTTGATTTTGGCAAAAATATACTAAAATTACCAGATGAATCTCCTTAATATAGAATTAAAAAAAAAAAAACTTACACAAAGTTCAGTTACAAAAAGATAAGGGATCAAATTCAATCAAATATTCCATTCGTTTCGTTGCACATTTTTCGAACAAATGACCATTAATTTTACATAAATTAATTGTTAAAATTTTATCATGTACGCAGATGAATTATTTCTCGTGCCATCATCTGAAAGAGCTTTGTTTCTTGAGCAGAATTATATTTTTAGATCCCATAGACTTTCATCTAGATTTTTAAATCATGATTTAAATCAAAATCATAACTTCACTGTTTGTCCCTAGGGCCTGAAACGCAGCCTTCTTTTTGAAGCTAGCATAGAAACGTGATCACATATCAATCTAAGCGGGCCCAGAGCGTGGACCCGCGACTACGCTCATTATGGCTAGTTGTTATTAGTAGAGATAGGTGTGCGACCTCCTTGGTTTAACCCTAAACAAACAAATTTACAGCTCGCTCCCATACAAAGTCCCATCCAGGGGTGCTATTTTTGCTAATGTAATTGCACTTATTTAGAAATAGTTCCAGTGTACCAAAATGATGAAATTTTGGATATCGATTCCATTTTTAATGCAGATTACAAATACGTATTTATCTCAATATGTACCCCTAAAGAACAGGACGGGACTAGACAATCAAGCTTCTCACTCTTCTTAAAGTTTGTGGTGAATGCTCTTCGAAAATTTGTGCGTGGTGTTAAATGGTGCTGACCGATGATGCCAGGATCACAGAATTCTTTTTGTGATCTTTTAATTTGAATTTTATTCGGAATTTATACCCCATTTTAGCAACCAACCAACCAACCAATCACTTGAAACACGCAGTGTACTCCATTTTCAACTTTACATTCGCAAATATAAGCATCTTACAAAGCCATTTACGTCAACATTGATTCCGGCATCACTTCCAGTAAGATTGCTCTGATCCCTTTGTTATTTTTATTTTTTTTTTCATGCTCCATTCCGATCCAGTCTAATGTTTAGTTTACTATTTTCCACCACCAATCATCATTGCACCATCATCACGGCCCAATCAAAAGCAGTATGACGAACAAACCGAGTAACAAGTGGCATCATTTCAAGCGTTGCGTTGTTGTGCATAATATGAAGCAAGCGAAATTATATTCACCACCGATGTCCACTTCACCACTGATTTTCCTGATTTCACCCCACTTGCTCTCTGTGGCATGCAAGCCGCACGGGATGGGCGGGTTTGTGACGACGAGCGGGGCCAAAGAATAAACAGCCTCTTGATTGGATAAGAGCCTGAGCTGTGATTGGCCGAGCTTAACTTGTTTGCCGAGTTGAAGTGACGTGCGAGTGAATGTGGTGAATTTGACTACGCGGACTCTCAATGTTTCGAAGTGGGTGAAGAGAGAGTAGCAGTCTTTCTTTCATCCCTTGCTTGTGTTTTTCTTCTGCGCGCGTGTTTTCTTTCGGGGTTTTCTTAGACTTTCAAGAGGGAGAGTGCAAGTGTTGTGAAGACTATGAACCAAGAGAGAGAGAGAGTGAATGCGAAGGAAAATGATGCCGTTTGAGAGTATGTTTTCTTCACGTTTTAATTCTATTGGATTATTTGGGCAGCTGTTTGATCGAAGCAGTATTCGGGAAAAAATCAAAACTCAAATCTCATGCATGAGTTTATGCACCTATGAGCTTTGCCTTGCAACATTCAACGTCGAAAAAATCACCGATGAGTTTTCAGTTAAAAAAAATAAATTTCTTTATATTTTGGCGTTATTCATTGTTATTACTATTGTTTGTGCATCAAGGGTTGGAAAACTAACCCAACATGCATAAGTATGCTATCAATTGATGAGTGAGTGGTTTTTATGAGTTTAAAGTGTTTCGCTGTGAGATACTTTTTCTCGTAACCACTTCGAAACTTTAAGTGCACAAATATCAGCTTCTACGACACGTGTATCATTAAAACTCCACGATTGCTACACTGCAGCATACATGAATTAGCAATTTCTGGTACAATGAAGCACTGATTTCCGAGATTTGTGTAATTGAAAATTCGAAGTGGAACTGGAAGTTTAGCCATTTGTGGACTCTACAAGGAATTACCTTAAAGCAGGAATGATTTTCAGGCGTTGTGAGTGTGAGTGCGTGAATATGCATGAGAATCGCAAGGGTGAATGTTGTTTGCCGCATTCGCAAGTGAGATTATTCTCGCAGTGAGGCTCAATGAATAAGATTTGAGTGATTTTCCGAACACTGGATCGAAGTGTCTTACTCAATCCTTAATGATTAAAGTTGTCAACTTCAGATTTTCGTAAGGATTATGAATTTTGTGCGGGATAGCCCTCTCCAACGGAGGAGTTTGGTAAAGAGAGATGATTATCCCGATTCGTACCTTCCTCAAAGTTGTCCTTGCTTTCTACTCTCTATATAGGGTAACTGATGGTTGGACCTATTTAGGCCGGTTTCACACGACGTCAACATTCATGTCGTATTTTTTTTTATGAATTCAACATATAATTATGAAAAATGCGTGATTAGGGGAAAGATCTACCTTTCTTGTTTCTAATAATAACATAAAAAGTTTAATATTATGAACAAATGATTTTATAAAACGTTTTTATTCATCAAAGAATTATGATGTTGGTTGGACCTAAAGGGTGATACGGTCAAAATTTGGTCAAGGGAAAACGCGTGTAAATCGGTGAAATCGTTTATTTAAAAAATCAAATTAAATTTCTTTTTCAAGTTCAATTAGTATAAAATTCAGGAAAAATATTCAGTTAGGCTTCCGCTTTTCCAAATCCGAATTGCCGGGCCTTACGCTTGACCCCTGCCATCAGATTTTGTACAGCCACCTTGTCCACCTTCTTCGCCGCAGAAAGCCAGTTTGCCTTGAACTGCTGCTCGCCCTTAGCAGTTTTTTTGGTCTTCTTTAGGTTCCGCTTGACAATAGCCCAGTATTTCTCAATTGGGCGGAGCTCTGGCGTGTTGGGAGGGTTCTTGTCCTTGGGAACCACCTGCACGTTGTTGGCGGCGTACCACTCCATGGCCTTTTTACCGTAATGGCAAGATGCCAAATCCGGCCAAAACAGTACGGAACAACCGTGTTTCTTCAGGAAAGGCAGCAGACGTTTATTCAAACACTCTTTCACGTAAATTTCTTGGTTGACAGTCCCGGAAGCTATGAAAATGCTGCTTTTCAAGCCACAGGTACAGATGGCTTGCCAAACCAGATATTTCTTTGCGAACTTTGACAGTTTCATGTGCTTGAAAACATCTGCTACCTTTCCCCTTCCTTTTGCCGTATAAAACTCCTGTCCCGGAAGCTGCTTGTAGTCGGCTTTGATGTAGGTTTCGTCGTCCATTACCACGCAGTCAAACTTCGTCAGCATCGTCGTGTACAGCCTCCGGGATCGCGCTTTGGCCGTCGTATTTTGTTTATCATCGCGATTTGGAGTCACTACCTTCTTGTAAGTCGATAGTCCGGCTCGTTTTTTGGCTCGATGCACGGTTGTAGACGATACACCCAGCTTATTTGCGGCATCTCGGAGAGAGAGGTTAGGGTTTCGCTTGAAACTACCGGCAACTCTCTTTGTCGTCTCAGCGGCTTCCGGTTTTCGATTTCCCCCCGATCCAGACTTCCTGGCTGTCGACAAACGTTCCCCAAACACTTTAATTACATTTGTAACGGTTGATTTGGCAACTTTTAGCGATTTTGCCAACTTTGCGTGCGAGTAGCTCGGATTTTCGCGATGCGCGAGCAAAATTTTGATACGCTGCTCTTCTTGCTTGGACGGCATTTTGACAACTGAAGAGTGAATTCCAAAATCAAAATAGGAGCAACATTCTACACACACACACCTTCAAAATGAGGGGTGTTCAGGTTTTTTAAATGCAAAATTGAAAGAAATACGTCAAGTTGATATTGACCAAATTTTGACCGTATCACCCTTTATACTGATCTTGGTTGGACCTAAAAAATGATGATGGTTGGACCTATTTTGGCAAATGCTAGTTTAGCCCATATTTGTTCAAAAACTTTGTTTAGAGCTTATTGGTATCATGAAAAAACTCTTATTATACGGTTTTTATGAATTTGCTATTTAAAAAAATCAAGAAATTTGAGTTTAACTTCGTTTTTAAAAAAGTTCATTTTCCACGCATTAGCTATTCATCATGGCTCATTTTCTCGGAAAATCATTGACGCGATTTGGAAAATTTTAAACGCCAAACTATACGTATTGTGGTCCCATTGAAAGCAATCGAATATTTTTGGAATCGGTCAACTGGTTCCGGAGATATGGCCGGAACAAGTTCCAGGGTATGTGGAACATGGACCTAATTTTGACATGGAAGGAATAAAACCTATCATTCGATAACAAGATCAATAATAAAATTGAGTGACCACATTGGCCA